GAGTGGAAGCTGGAAGGCCAACTAGAATGCTGCTGCAATGATGCAAGTGAGACATGATGGCAGCCTGGACCAGGTAGGAGTCCACTGCAATGATCCATGTGAGACACTATGGTGCCTGGGCAAGGTGGTAGCAGGGGAGATAAAGGCAGTCATTAGGAGTTCTAGTAGATTGACTGTAGAGGATAAGAAGGTGAACAGTTAAGGATGTCTCCAAGAATTCTGCCAGAACTGGAAGGATGCCCGTACTTGAGATGAAATTTGATAGAAAAATTGGCTCAGATTTTTTTCAAGAATTCAGTTTTGATATATTAAATGTTAGCAGAAATCTATTTATTAATGTACCTTTTACTGGCACCCTTTCCTGCTTCACTTTCCCTATAATCTTTCTTGTGCTTCCTGGGATCACTTCTCAAATAAACTTCCACATCTGAATCCTTGTCCAGGGTCTGCTTTTTTGGGGGGGACACATAACAAGACGCAATGGAAACTTGAAACTATAGGTATAGGCTGAAGAACTGTGTGAAGACTAAACTGAATGAGATTTTGTACTTGAACATGAAGCAAATGCTATTCCACATAGCATCTGCACCCTATTCCTATATGCTAAAAGTCAACATTTTCTCACTTTCATTGTTCAGAAGTTTCCTTCTTTTGCTTTCTTCCCTGTTATTGTTCTAAGTAATTATCATCCCTGTTTTTGTTCTAAGTAAGTACTTCCAATCCCTTGAACCACAGGCTTCTATAATCTATAATAAAAGCATAATATGCTAATTAGACCGGACGAAGCTGGGGTTGCGAGGGAAGCCCAGTCCTGGGTGCCGGAGGGAAGCTGGTGCTGGCAGCCGGGGGAAGGAAGGCCTACTCTTGCAGGGATTTCATGCATCGGGCCTCTAGTCTTTGAATAAAAACATCTGGTAATAAGGGAACAATAAATCACTCAGAGTTGAGTTGTAAAAGACATAGTCATTATCCCTGAAAATTATTTGGGGACTAAAAACTATTTGAGTGTAACCTCCATTTAGAGTTATCAATGAGATTGTTTGCCCAAGAACTGGCTAAGTATGTCCAAATTCCTGATATGCTTGATAAACAACTCTATAGTATTTTCCAATCTATTCACTCAAGCACTAATTGAACATTTACTGCCACACATTACTGTAAACATTTTTCATTCGTTAACTCAATAGTTACAGCAAAGGCAGTACACTACACTATAGGTACTATTATTATCACCACCCCCATTTTATAGATGAGGAAACGCAGGCACAGAGGGATAAAGTACATGCTCAAGGTCACAGACTTACTAGTAAGCAGCACAGCAGGACTCAGCTTCAGAGGCCACACTCTTAATTCCTACATCACCTGTCACTAGTTTCCTCTTTTAACTCGCACATAAACACCTAAGCTAGGCACTGTCATCATCCCTGTTTTACAAATTAGGAAACGGAAGCACTGAGAGGTCAAGTAATGTACCCAAGGTCACCCAGTCAGTTAGTAGTGGGTCTGGAGTCTGGTCCCAGAGCCTGTACTCTTAGTCATCATGTTACATGCTTCTCATTACTGGGCATCCGTCTAGTATGTGCCAGAACCAGCTAGACGTGGTAGATATCTATCTGACAAGCATGGACCTGCCTTATGGGTGCCTGAAATCTTGCGTGGGAACAGAACAAGTAATCTGTCATCATGCTCCAATATGCTAAGCACCAGACAGGTACACAGAGTAGAGACAATATAGGTGATG